TGGTAAAGTCTTAATGTTATTAAAAAGTTACTTAAATAATCGTAAACAATTCATGCATATTGATACACACTCAACAACTACTGCTTTAGATATATCCTGTGGAGTCCCCTAGGGTTCCATACTTGGACCACTGTTATTTCTAATTTATATTAATGACCTCTATAAAACTTCTAATTTAATGACAATAATGTATGCTGACGATACTAATCTTTTCTTATCCAATGAGCTTTCACTTAATATTGAAAAAAACTAAGCAGATTCTTTTTCATTCAGCTTATAAAAAGCATATACTACCAAGTGAAATGCCGCCACTTTTCATTGATAAAATTAATATAAAAAGAGTAACTTATACTAAATTTTTAGGTATTATTGTGGATGAAAATCTTTCACGGGAAAACCACATTGGAAATCTAAATAATAAAATTGCAAAAAGTATTGGGATTCTATATAAAACAAGAAGCATTTTAAATAAACATACTTTAATTCAACTATAGTACTCATTAATTCATTGCCATATTAACTATGCTAATATTGCCTGGGGAAGTACCAACAAAATTAAGTTAAACCCTTTGCTTTGTCAACAGAAGCATGTAGCACTCTTATTAATTTTAAAGATTGTTTTACTCATGCCAGGCCTTTATTATTAAACATGAATATTCTTAATATTTACGAAGCAAATATATTTAACGTTCTTTGTTTTATGTTTAAATGCAAAATTAATGCTTGTCCTGTTTCTTTTCATAAGTTATATTCAAAGAAAGAAAAAAATATATATATTAAGAAATAATAAACATATCCAACAACCAATTTTTCAATCAAATATAGGCAAATCTTGCATTCAATACCGTGGGGCCTTTTTATGGAACAAAATAGTTTTAAAACATTTTGATTTTTCGAATAATTGGAATTATTTTTCTTTTAAAAGAAAACTAAAAGAAGTAATTTTTTCAATTGATAACATATTTTTATATTTTTAAATTATTACCTATTCCACAAAATAATTAAGGAATTGTATTCTGAATAACAATATTTTTTAGATTACATTTTATATATTGATATTTCATATATACTGATGAAAACTGATGTAATTTTTTGAGCTTTTGTTTGCTTTTTTTGTTTGTTTGTTAGTTTTTGCATAATATTAAATATTGAGAAATATTATATATATATATATATATATATATATATATATATATATATATATATATATATATATATATATATATATATATATATATATATATATATATATATATATATATATATATATATATATATATATATATATTCACATATATTATAAAATATTGTTAAAACTTGCTTAACACCTAAAGAGTATTATAATATATAAATGCATTAAAAAATTGTTTTAAATATTTGTAAATTTATTTATGTATTTTAACTCTTAATATAGATTGTAAAGGGCTTCATGATAAGATCGTGTGATCTTCTGGAAGTCCTACCAGTAATATATTCAATGTAAATTTACCTTGTACATTTTATTCTGGAAAAAAGTATGGCAAATATATATATATATATATATATATATATATATATATATATATATATATATATATATATATATATATATATATATATATATATATATATATATATATATATATATATATATATATATATATATATATATAGTAAAATTTATGTTATTATTTCCAGCAAAAGTGCTCAATATAGCTTGTTATATAAGCTCAATATAGCTTGTTATATAAGCTCAATATAGCTTGTTATATAAGCTCAATATAGCTTGTTATATAAGCTCAATATAGCTTGTTATATAAGCTCAATATAGCTTGATGTCTACATTCAAAAATGATTTTACAGCTAAATATGGAGCTGAAATATAACAAAACAACAGCATTACAAAAAATAAAGAAAAATATGGCAAAGTCAAAAAATCAATACATCTTTCAACAAAAATACGTCAAAAGTCATTACAAATTGTTCAAAAAGTCATTACAAATTGTCCAAAAGTCATTACAAATTGTTCTATTAATAATAATAATAAGAGTTAAGACATAATTCAACGCTGCAGGTTTGAACTTCTTATTTCTCTGAAAATTGAATTTATGAACACGTTTCTTTAAACAAACTAATACAGTTAAATTCATTGAAAATGAACTCACGAAAATACTTGAAACGAATGATTATAAAGCCATAAAAAGAATCACTGAAAAAGCATGAGAAAATATGTTCCTGAACTGAAGAGACAGATTAATTTAAAAATTCAAACTTCTTCAAGATCAACGCGTTAAGAGAACATCCCACTCAAAAATCTATACTAAAGAAGCTGTTTTAAATTTATGTGAAACAGAAATTTCAGAACATCAAAAAAGCCTTCTTAACTTTGGACCAAAATTTGTACCAACAATAAAATCTCTACAATATCTTGATATCATAACAATAACTGAGTCTGCTCTAAAACTTGAATACATCTGCTCTAAAACTTGAATACAACAAAAAAGATGAAGCTGTGCAAATG